TAACTTCAGATCTAAATTGGAGTTTCTCAGTTTTTGAGGGTATTACAGATGTTTGTTTATTTATAGGTATGAACAACAGATATGTTGATATATATTTGATATATTAGTTATTTGTATATATCTATTTATATATAAAATATATCTATATAAATCAATGTATATAATATAAATAAATATATTACATGGTATATACGAATGAAATGAATTTTAAGATCTACATTTTACATGCCAATATTTTAATGAAAGTTATTTTGGCCATAAATTTAGATATATCTTAATGTTAATAATCTTTATTTTTAAGAGTTCATTGCTACAGCAATATTTCTAGAAAGTGAACTTTGAAGAGGCTAAATAGACCTAGTATAATTGTTTAAATTGCCGAAAATTTTGTAATTTTTGTTTAACTTAATCTTTACTATATTTATATATGTTTAATTATTATGTCTATACTCACCCCAAAATCCATGTTTCAACATGCTTATATGGAGTTCGCGTAGCTTTGGTAGTGGCTTTGTAGATTGAAGTAGCCTTAAGCATTTGAGAAGATGAGTATGATAAATACGTACAAAATTATCGAATTCTCGTATACGTAAATTGCTTTCTGATGAACACATGATGACTTCCCAGAGATCTTGTGCTGGACTACCCCATTTACATAACTGAAAATCAATAAAACGTATTTGATTGATTTCACCAGTTGAAGTATAGTTTTGCATGATATTGCTGGACCAAAAATCTCCATGATTTAAAACTTTAAATTCATTCGGATCAGTGTTAAAACAACCCATAGCAGCATTAACAAATTGCTCTGCATTTGGCTGAAGAGAAAATAACATTTTTGAATGATTACTAAAAGACAAATTGATTTTCTTTTTACTTACAATGCGCTCTGCGTATTTCTCATAATCCTCCAAGCCCCAAGTAGACATCGCTGCTTTGAAACTTTGCACGCGTGCTTGATAAGATTTCGATTTCTGATAGTTTGCGGGTAGATAACTTTTTTGAAATTCTTCTGGGTATGCCCCATTACGCTGCTGCCATATCACTGTGACTGCATGAAATTCAGCCAGTTTTTCTAAAACGCGTTTCATATGTGCCATGTCGAAACCTTTCAGACGATTTATATTTTTAAATTTTTTAGTGTTTAAATCTTCTAGAACAAGTGTAATGCGTTCGGCCTTCTCCTCAACCCAGACGCATTTAGGCGCCAATTTTACTTTCTTATTAATATCATTATAGAGCGTTTCCAGTTGAGGCAGCAATTGTTCGTACATAAATTTTTCCTTGGGGAATAGATTTAGAGTGTTTATAAACGTACCTCCTTTGTCTTTATCTAGCATGGTTTTCATTATATATGACTGCTGTTGAGTAAAGCCATCTGCAATGCAAGTATATGAGTTGTTATCGGTGAGAAAATATATTTTGATAATTAAACTTACCTTTCATTTCTATATCCATGTGTATACGTACCATAATTGATGTGTAATTCTCCCCGGGTGGCGTGGCAGCTGTAGGTGTGAATTTTAAAATTTTCTTGAACTGTGGCATATCTTTCTGTAGAATTTTTTCGAAGTATTTCTCGTTTATCCATTTCGGTATTTCGAGATTCAAATTCGGATTAAATTTTGTGCTGTTATCTGGCATATTTGTTGGTTGTCTTGGATTATTTTTGTTTGCTTTTTTGTTGAATATTTCAAGGTATTCCGCAATTGTCGTTTGTCAACCGATAGTTACTTTGTTTTTACTGGAACTAAAACTCTAGTCGCTTACCTTTGACGAAATATCTCACCTACTTTGTATGCTCTCTCATAATTACGATTCGTTTTCCAATTTAAATTTAGTAAATAACTATTTTAGCAGAACGTTTTGCGCTCTGCGTTTTTTATTTTAAATGTAGCCACATAAATACTATAAACATATATCTATATATGCACATATAAATGTGTGTTATTTACAATTGTTTATATCACCCAGATAATAATCGGTTTTGTTTTAATGTTTGTTTGTCGACAAGTTTGCTTGACTGTAACTCAGCCGTTGATTAAATGAATTTCAATTTTAAATAAAGAACGGCAATGCTTGGATATTTTTTTTCGCAGATAATGCGGTTACGTTATGTGCATTTAAAACACCAAACGTACTGATTAGCAGGTTCTTACTAGAGAATTTCTACTGAAAACTGATAAGGAAACCGCTCTAGTTGTAAGAGGGCAACTATTGTTCCACTCAATTTAAGTGCACTGAACACAAGGGAGTAGTCGTATGAGCGCTGGAGAAATTGTTTTCATCATAATTCTTAATTATATTAATTTTGTAAAGATTTTATATGTTATAAATATAAAATAGATATTGACGTGTTAACTATTATAATCTCTAGGTAAATGAAAGTATGAGATTTTTGTGCAGTCCATATACCCAAACGTATTCTTTTGAGTCTACATATGCCGTGTAAGCTAACATAGTACAGTGATAATATATAATTAGCAATATTAAAATAATTACTATAGTTTCCAACTCAAAATTTTAATATATATTGTACTAATTAATAAAAACGTATTCAATTTCTTAATATTTATTAGAATCACTAATTAAAATGTTAGTCGCACTTTTGCCATCATATATAATATAAATGAAATACATATATATATATATATATATATTATGTACACTTGTACATTAATATGTTGGTTTGTCGAATGTGTTACGTTTTAACACGTTAATTATATAACACGTGTATTCTTCCATTGTGTTTTATTTCTAGCCTCTGGGAGTGAGTACATAAGGCAATGTATCTGATGGCATTCAAGCCGATAAATGACAGCACAATTCTGCTCTGCTTTAATCCTAGTATAAGCATCGTTTCTACGTGGCACTCTTGAATAATTATCTAGTAGTCTTTGAATAACAAACCAAAACTGTGTACAGCGAGGTGCCCATCTTCATGAGTTTGTGTGTAGGGTTTGACATTCGTCATTAAAATCAGCAGCCAGTAAAAGACATGATCTAACCTTCTCAAAAGAAATTAAATGTTGATAACTTCCTCAGACGAACTATGATTTACAGATATTATCTTTAATATTCTGAAGCACTATAGTTAAGATGCATAATTACTACTCGCAGTAGCCTTCAATTATAGTGAGATAGACGTTACCGTTCTAGAAAACAAATTGGGATACGAGGGCGGTTTGATAAGTCAGTGACTTTTTGAATAAAACAAATTTTTTTGGCAAATAAAGATTTTATTTTTCTATACAATCACCTTTTAGCTCGATAAATTTAGTATAGCGTTTTTCTAATTTTCTTATTCCCTCCAAATAATAGGTTTTCTCAAAACTCTCAAAATACGCGTTTGTTTTGGTAATGACTTTTTCATTCGACTCAAATCTCTTACCGCCCAGCCATTTCTTTAGGTTTGGAAACAGAAAATAGTCGCAGGGGGCTAAATGTGGAGAATATGCTGGATGGGGTGACTAGACTAGTGTGCACACGTGCATTGTCTTGATGGAACAGCACTTTCTTCTTCGCCAAATGTGTTCGTTTTTGCTTCAAATCAACATCGAATCTATTCAAAAGTTTTTAATAATATTCGCCGGTGACCGTCTACCTTTCTCGAGGTAATCGATGTAAATGACACCGCTTGCATCCCAAAAAACTGTGGCCATGACCTTGTTGTCTGACAGACTCTGTTTGGCCTTCTTTGGTCCACGTTCATCCCTAGCAACCCACTGTTTCGATTGTTCCTTGGTCACTGGCGTGTTGTGATGGATCCATTTTTCGTTCACAGTAACAAAACGGCGCCAAAAATTCGTTCGGATTACGGCTGAACATCGCTAAACACTCTTTTGAAGTGGTCACACGATTGCGCTTACGGTCGAGTGTGAGCAGTCGCGGCACCTATATCGCGGAGAGTTTTTTCATGTCCAAATATAAATAAATATTCGTGTAAAATATGATGTACCCATTTAGTTGAGATACCTACAGCATGAGCCAACTCACGCATTTTCATTCTCCGATCATCCAATATTATTTCATGGATTTTATC